GTTGATGTAGATATTTTAATACAAATTTGAGTTAGAAGCGAGTATACAGGGTGATCCACAGTGGATGGCCTATTAGAAGTATCTGGAGAACGAAAAGACAGAACATTCTGAAAATTGGGATGCTCTGATAATTGAAAATTTTCTATCCGTCTACAATATTTTCATCGATACAGTGTTGCCACTTTCATTCGAAACAACTAGCTACTTTGTTATTTCAAATGGAACACCCTGTATTTTATTGCATTTTCAGATTCTTCCCGAAGGGCTGATTTCATCAATGCATCACACTAGGGGTCTAGCAGGAATGATTACAGAGATATAGGGTGTTCAAAATCGAGATTTTTCAATTTTTGAATTATTTTGTGTCGAAACTATTCATTATTGATCAAAACGGCTTAAATGTCCCTATCTCAACTTATGATTCACTATCTACTGGAATTTAATCGGAAAAAATACAGGGTGCTTCAAGATTCAAAATGCTGATCACCCTGTATCTGTTCCAATTAAATGTCAGTAGATAGTGAATCGAAAGTCAAGATGGGGACATGTAAGCCGTTTTGATCGATAATGAATAGTTTCGACACAAATAATTCCTAAAATTGAAAAATCTCGATTTTGAACACCCTATATCGCTGTAATCATTCCTGCTAGACCCCAAGTGTGATACATTGATGAAATCAGCTCTTCAGGACGAATCTTGAAATGCAATTAAATAAAGAGTGTTCCATTAGAAATAACAAAGTTGCCAGTTATTGCTTCTAATAAAAGTGGCAACACTGTATCGATGCAAATATTTTAGACGGATAGAGAATGTTCAATTATTAAAGAATCCCAATTTTCAAAATGTTCTGTCTTTTCGTTCTCCAGATACTTCTAATATGCCATCCACCGTGGATCACCCTGTAGGTGTAATGGTCGTAATACTGCAGCATGTGATATTAAAATTTTACAGTATGGGTGATTATGTGTGAGTGTACTCTTACTTGCCGCGTTATTAATGCATTTTATAGTTGCTATCAATGTTGTGCTAGACAATGGGTTTAAGTGCACGTGTAGATACAGAGTGGGCCTTTGAAAACGAAACAGAGGCTCTGTAGGTCGCCAAAACCGGATTATCAAAAAAAACTGAAACAGGTCAACTACATTTTCGAGGGGGACATCTTTCTAAAATATTTTCAGCCCTGCGGCGTTGCCGCTTCTAAAGAAAAGAAGCAACAACTTTGTTATTTCAAATGGAACACCTTGTATTTTATTGCATTCTTAGATTCTCTCCGAAGAGCTGAATTCATCAATGCATCACACTTGGGGTCTAGCTGTAATGGTTTCAGGGATATAAAGTGTTCAAAATCGAGATTTTTCAACTTTAAAATTTTTTTGTGTCGAAACTATTCATTATTGGTCAAAACGGCTCTCATGTCCCTATCTCAACTTGTGATTTACTATCTACTGACATTTATTTGAAACAAATACAGGGTGGTTCAAGATTCAGAATTCTGATCACCCTGTATCTGTTCCAATTAAATGTTAGTAGATAGTGAATCACAAGTTGAGATAGGGACATGGGAGTCGTTTTGACCAATAATGATTAGTTTCGACACAAAAAAATGTTAAAGTTGAAAAATCTCGATTTTGAACACTTTATATCCCTGAAACCATTACAGCTAGACCCCAAGTGTGATGCATTGAGGAAATCAGATTTTCGGGGAGAATCTAAAAATGCAATAAAATACAAGGTGTTCCATTTGAAATAACAAAGTTGTTGCTTCTTTTCGTTAGCAGCGGCAACGCCGCAGGGCTGAAAATATTGTAGGACGATGTCCCCCTCGAAAATGTAGATGACGTGTTTCAGATTCTTTTCATAATCCGGTTTCGGCGACCTACAGAGCCTCTGTTTCGTTTTCAAAGGCCCACTCTGTATACCAAAATAGTAGAAAAAGTTGTATTTCGTGCAAAATAAATTCAATTTATTTTTTCGTAGCAGAGCGCTTGACAAGTTTACGACAGTATGCCGCAGCCATAATGGATGTTTAGGAAAATTTAAAATGTAACCTGCATATTATCTCATTTTGAGAAACAAATTTTAATCTGTTTGTACGGTAATAGCCATAATGGTAATATTACTCTGCGCCAAAGATATTTTTATGGATGATTTTCTCGTCAACCTGACGAGTACGCACTGATGATGACTGTTAGTCAAAAGCGCTCTGCTACGAAAAATTAAATAAAATTCATTTTGCACAAAATACAGCTTCTTGTACTATTTAGGCACTAAAATGGATAACTGCCAAATATACAGCGATTACATGCATGATTTATATGCATTGCTCAGTGCATAGCAATAGAAAACCACCACTACCATTTTATAGGACCGTCAAGGTCGATAAATAAATATGATGATGATAATAAATTACAATAATAATAATTATAAAAATGATAATAATAATGACAAGGCACGTATCCTCGCTGGTGCAATATAGAAGGCCGATCTGTTCGTCTAATCAGGGCACATGAGTCATGGATCTAGTGACCACCTACCACACAGGTGCTGAGGAGTGGTCACTGGTTGCCGCTTAGCTCGACTCTGCGTGGTGTTGGAGATCACAGGGTCGTGACCCGAATAACTTGGGATTCAAGATAATGATAGTAACAACCATAATCATATCAATAATAATAATCATGATGATGCTTCACCTCAAGACTGGAAATTTTTCGTCCAATCCAATTAGTAATTGAACCGATTTGCCAAGGGATTTATGGGCAGCATTTGGTTCGAAGAAAGGTGCTGCTGGCTACAAGGAGAACCTGTTGATAAATACATTTATCACAGGACTCCGTGCAGAACAAGGGAATCTCGTTACTAGATCAAATGTCTTTCGGTATCCGATTTTTCAGGGACATGCATAGAATAACGGATGCTGGTCTGGAAGATCAGTTTCACCATAACATCAGGTAATGTGAGAGTCCAAATAGAGCCAATTACCTCTCGTTCTCTGCATTACTTTCAATTTGCCACTATTGGTCTAGGGGCCAGGATCCTCCCAGAAAATAAACCTAGGTTGGGCTAATGGGCCCAATTCATACTTCACCAAGTAGATCCAGCTTCTTATGGAAGGCAATTAGCTTCTTCAATTAGTTCTTAATACTTCCTCCTTCCGGAGGAACCAGTCATCTGTATTCTGAATAAGTAGAGTGTAAGGCAGGTCATAAGTGACTCTTGGAGGCATTATGTCGGAGATCATCTCCAGAATGCTATTACTTTCTGTGTCCACCAGTAGTCTGATATGCTTCGTATTAGCATGATTTGTGCAATTTACAATCTACGCAATTCTGCATGTTGTCTATCAAGCTTCTCTCTACAGAAAAATGTGGAGAGGAGGTAGATCTAGTAAAATTTCTATAGCTGCTGATGGTGTGGTGCTGATCCAATAGAGTTTGGTAATGCATTGTCAAATGCTCCTTCGAAATTGATAAAAATGACCACCGCAATGTCTTTGTTGTTGAGGGATTGGGTGTTTTTTCTGAATCTGTCGAATTGCCTGTTTGATAGACATACTGGTAGTTGTTCAGGGGAAATGTGCATAACGTGACACGCCTAATGTATCCATCCAGCATCCTTTCAAGTCCTTTCCGCAGGAAATATTTGAGGCTAATTGGTCTCACTGATTTGGGATGTGGGTCTGTGCGGCCCACACGAGACTAGCGCTATACAATTTGATGAAAATGGGCTAAAAGTACTTCCAGTCCGTTTTGCTGCTGAGCTGGAAACAATCTAAAGAGATTTGAAGGGCTGAAATGATTTAATTGCTCATTCAACTGCTGGTGCTCTGATATATTTTTTGGCGACCTCCCGATCGTTCCTTTCAGGACGTTTTGGCGCCCTCAAAGAAAGGAAGTCGATTGTTATCAAGAGTCAAACTTCCAGGAAAGTGGTTTTCTATCAGGAGCTCTGACGGTTCTTTTCTAGATATCTTAAATGTGCCATCAGGTCGTTTTATCGACCCGATTTCAGCAGTCGGCTCCTAGAGAGAATCTTGTGAATTCTTGTATTGTGAGGTATGTCATATATACTCTCACAGAACTTCCTCCGAGACTCCCATTTGCTTTTCCGATTTATTTATTGTACTTTGTTAGAGTAGTTGTGAGTGATTCAGAACAGAGACTGATCATGTTCTGTAATTCATGAAGTCGCAATCTGATTGAGAAATATTGCGAATGTCAATAATTTTGTCCAATCAATTCACGAACCTCTAGAGAAAAATGGTTTGTGATAATTAATGTACTAATAATCGGGTTAGTGCTCGTTTGAAACATTCATCTTCATTATCGAACTGTACAGGCATATACCAAACAAAATGCCATCATCACCCCAGTACATACCATATCAGTAATTAACTGAACAGGATAGAGAGTTTTCATTTGAGTTCAAGTTTACTATAATATCTCTTTCTAATTCTGAACAAATTGAAGATGTACGTAGTAAGATGACAGTTTTTTAGCATTCCATCATGAGAGTGGATATTTTGTTATTGCAGCCTTTTCAACTCGTAGTGAAAGTACCACTTCACTCGCTGGATACAATCATAATCAATCTATTCCAATAGTTGTGTATGATTAAGTATCATTCTCTATTTGACATATCAACGAATACCTAATATACATGTTTTATTTACAAGATGGAGGGAATATCAGCCCTCAGGAAGAGTTGAACGCAGACACGTGTTTCGTGCTTTTGGCCCTCATCAGTATGGCGAAAGACGTGCAAAAGATAGGCCACGCTTGGTGAAAGAACAAACAGAAGCCAGCCGCACAATTGTGGTTTCGGTCAGAAGACCCTGCATTTTCATTTTTCATCTATTGTTTCATCTTCCACCAAGTGTTGCCTATCTTTTGCACTTCTTTCACCGTACGATGAGGACCAAATGCACGAAACACGTGTCTGCGGTTAACTCTTCCTGAGGGCTATGTCCTATAATCTTTTCCTTGTTTTATTTTCTGTACAGCACCAAAATACGATTCAATGGCCAACTCCAGCTTCTCAAATGTTCCATACCTAGTAGGAGGGATATCAATGAAAGACGATCCAGAACCTGAGAATATGGTCAATCAAGCGATAATGGAGCCAGTTATCGAAATCAAGACAGATCAAGATAAAAACACCATAGTTATAGACGATGATGGGGGACAATCAGAAAATACTAATAACTTTTTTGAAAACATTGGATTATTCGAAAATACAGCAATTGCAAAAATAGGAGAATGTACTATTTCTGTTTCAATGAACTGAATACATTTGTAATCAGAAATCCAACAGAAATGAAAGATTACCTTTTTTGAGAATATTTGTATTGTTGAAATTGACCAAATGTTTTTATTCACATGACCTCTGTAATTATGAGTAATATTTTCAGTTTCATATTATTTATTACATTTTATTAGTAGATTGCTGAAGTGTTTAATAAAATCTACTTGGTGAAATAAAGAACTTAAAATAGAACTTTTTTCTGGAATACCTGGTATTTTCAACAAAATTGTATGCGATTCATTGCTTCATATATCTATTGTCTATAAAGTGACTTCATTACTTTCAGAGGGCTGGGAAATAGTTATTTGTTTTTCTAGGCAGAAAAGTACAAGATTTAGTGCCGCGGCTGGCGTTTCATAGCCTAGGCGTAGCCGAGGCTAGGAAACCAGCCATGTGAAACATAATTTTTTCTCCAAATTCTTTTCAATTTCACGCAGTCTAAATAATCCATCATTTTTTGTTCACCCAAATTCATTGTCAATTCTGATTACCAATTTGTTTCAAATTATTTGGAATGTTGCATAGCAGCAAACTTTTTCTGCCTAGGCACTTTCAATGTCATTTGGAGAAAAAACATTTTTTGCACCAATGAGGCAATGTTTCATGCTTTCATAATGATGAGAACACATTTGTCATGTATTGAATTGTCGGAAAAAATAATATGATAACCCAATTCTTTTCAAATGAGATTGAAATAGTTTTTCTATATCCCTTCATCGAACGAGTGCAGATAAATTTTTTAGGGAAACCCAAATAGCAGTGTATCACAGAATGCATATTTTGTTTCATTTATTTGAAATGAATCAATACTTGCTATCTATCAAACAATAACTGACAAGATACCCTCATGCCTCATGCACGTGTGTTCATGCAAAAGTGCCAAATTAAGGGAAGTATAATATGCAAAAATATTTTGGTTCATTCTCGGTGTATGCATTCATAATGGTATTGAACCATTTCAAATAGAAGCGAAAATAACCAAGAACAAAGAACTCCTCAACATAAGCACTCACTAAGACCTATTGATCATAAGTAGTTTTACAATTTGCAATACCAGAAGACAGCTGTTGTCTCATTAGGCAATTGGAATAGTTTGACGGATTATAAAATCATCTTCATTGAGATGTACTCACACAATGTAGGTATCAAGTATTTCAACTAACTAATCTTCTATTCTATCAAAATACATTTTGTTCCATTCGAAAAATGTCTCCTCATTATTTGAAAATGTTGATAGGTAGTAAAACCATTATTTCTGGAATTTTGGCAATCGGTTAAAATACATTTAGATATGGTACATGAACTTGACATGAACAAATCACTCCCATTCAAAAACCATTGGCACGGATACGCCTACCCAATATTTAGAGCTGATGTTATATATTCAGAAATTATGACAATTCAAGAATTTCAGTGGTGACAAGTGTGTCCTTACTTTCAAAATCATTGAGTATCAGATCTTCTGAAATGTCGTCCAGGCGCCATTTTGAAGGATACATATTTTTTATCAGAATCAAAATGTAGCCCTTGAACTGCCATTGAAGGTAGAAAAATCGTTCAAAAATAAACAAGGGTAGGGCGACTTTATGGACACAGTGTTTGAATATATGAACAACTATTTTAAATGGTATTTCAGTTATCAGTATAGATAGAAGATCTTCATAATATGAAATCACTTGAATATCCCCACCGCCTATACCGGGTGACACAGGAGACATTCAACAGCCTGTAGTTTTTTATTTGAAGAGATAAAATTTTGAAATTCACAAGGGATATTTTATTGATGAACTTGAACCCAATGACAATTATCTCCTACCACCTTTTTGATCGGAAGTAGGCCCAACTTTTTATTTTCAAATTGCATCCTGTATATTTCTGCAGCCTATCTTATTCGCCTCAAAATTCTCTATTCAACTATGTATCACAATTTGATAAGCGAAATGATACTGAAAATACACTAATGTAGACTTATGAACAGATGTATTAGGACGATACATCAATTATTACAACAATTTCAGTTTCATGTATCCAAATGGATTATCATATTATGGCAACATGGCAAAGCCTATCAAGCAACGAAATGTCATTGCATTCGGGCCACAGCCAACTTCATGTATTTCAATAAAATGCAATTCAACAGGCAATCAATGAGCGAATATCAAATTATGGTACATAGTTGAAAAGAGAATTTAAAGGAGAATAAGATAGGCTACAAAAATATACTTCCAATCAAACAGGTGGTTGAAAAAAATTGTCATTGGGTTCAAGGAAAGCGCCATCATCCATAATATAACCCTTGTGAATTTAACATTTTTATTTTTTTGAATAAAAAAACTACAGGCTGTTACATGTCTCCTGTGTAACCCGGTATATATTTTCTGAGGTTTTGTATAATTTGAAAAAAGTAATTCAGAGATTGAAGCAGGTCAACCTACATACAAAATATCAATTTGATGATTGAACATAATCTAGATTCATAACCAAATTCAGTTCTGAAACACCAGAAACTACTTCTCGCTTATTTTCTTTGAAACTGTGAATATTACTAATTCTACAAAAACTATTCTTATTTCATGTTCAACTTTTTTTGGCAGGGGTATTTTTTATATAAATGTTCTCTCCCTATTTCATAATGAAAGAATAAGAATTTTTCTATTTTATAGAATTTGAAATTCTTTGAGAGCACTTTCATTCAAATTCAAATTTCTCAACACTTATTGATCTGTGTAACTATATATCTTGACTTCATCATTTCTATTTCAAGATAACGGAATCACATTTTAGTTTTGAGATGTTATTTTCTTATAAGTAGTTGAAGTACAGTATTAAATAATATACAGTGTGTTCAACTAATGTTGCACGAAACATTAAGGCTAGATTTGTTGGGTCAAAATATGAAAAATTAAATATAAACAAGTGTCCGAAAAAGATTCGTTTCCGAGGTACAGGGTGTTCAACTTCCTTAGAAAAGTTGATTTTATTACTTACCAATTTATAGAAAATGCTTCAACATGAATAAAATCGACATATAATGTTGACATATTAGTATCTTTGAGACCTATAAAAATTTAAGTATTATCTGAGGCGTACCCACGTTGCGATTCCGCTAGTTTTTGTCATAACAAGATAACGTCCTGTAAATAATGTGTGCATTTTTTTTTTGAAGCAACTAAAAATACAACTTATTTTACTACTGAGTTTATTGTATCAATTTTCGTTATCGAACAAAATATGAAACCAAAATTTATACATGTCTTTGAATCCATTGAGAGAAATATAGTTAGAAATGTCAATAAGGAAGAATATTTCGAACAACCAAGTTGGGAGGTTCTAATTCAGTTTGGAATCAAAACCCTGTATCTCGGAATCAAATCGCTATCTTACATATATTTTTTGTCATGTTTCACATTTCCTAATATCTATAAAATGATGCAGTAGTGCTCAAACTGTTTCTGCTTGCATATTAATGAAACAAGGTTTTTCCATGGAACCCTAAATCAGTGCATGACCAACAACGATCATACATTTTGTTAGTATGATTCGGTAGATTTGGGAATTACTGCAATAATGGTACTGCTTACACAAGGCATGTTCCGATATTCTTGACCAGAGAATTTGAAAAATAAAAATAAGAGTACCTTTTTTAACGAATAACTATGTTCAAATGGCTGTCGACCAAAGTCCTACTGCCAATAGTCGCGATTTCGTTGAAATATACTGTCATCCCTCAAATAGAAAATATGCGCTGAAGAGATGACTAGCTACAGACTTTTCAGATCACCGAGAACAACGAACAGTTTTTATGTTGAATAATTATTTTTGTACGGATTTACCCTTGTCATATTTTTGATTTTTCTACTGGCAAAACTGTTCGGAAAATAAGAAACAATTCAATTCAAGCTAGGTTATTTCGGGTTATAGTAATTAGTGAAACAAGCAATATTGGAACATGAATTCAAAATGATATCATATAGGTAGGAAGAAATGTGATTTTATTTTGATGAATAAAAATGATAATATATTATATATATTGCCGTAAACATTTTTTATTTGACCTAACAGAGCTATAGTTGTAGGATAAACATGTAGTTTTCTCGGTTGCAGAAAAGTTTATTTGTTGGGCTCTAAATTTCTGCGGAGGCTCGGTACGCTTTGCTTTGTCTAGTATAAACAGAAATTGCTAGTCAAACGAAGATCTACTACTTCTACTTACAAAGTCTAAAAAATAAGTTCACAGTTTGCAGACGTCTGACCTTATAACAGCCAGTTATGTTATTTCTTAACTTGGTGATACATTGTATCAGTTTTGTGTTTTTTTTATACCAACTGAATTAGCTAGATGTCTATATACTTATATATATATACTAGCAAGTTACGCCCGAAATACATACAACATTTTATGCACGACCGCTATATTCGATTTTTCATTGTGAATATCTCTTCACCTCTCTAGAAGAATAGAAATACATCATGGCTGTAGTGAGGAATATAATTGATGGAATCGACGTTAACTCAGTTGATTTTTTGAATTAGACTATTAAATTTGCTGTCAATTAATGTCATCACAGATAACTTATTTTGGATTAAATCATATCATTTTGCACCTCAGAAATATCAAAAGAACTGTAATATTAGATAAGAAACCATCACAACTGAAACATAAATGTCCTGAATTTTAATGGAATGCATATTACGAGGTAACTATACGCCGCGGGCGGTAAAGTGCTACTTCACGCCCGGTCGTGCATAAAAATATGAAAGATGTTGAAAATAACATTTCAGTTTCAAATGCTTGCAAGTTAAGTACAACTAGTGGCGTGTCGTGAGTTTCGTGCCTGGGGAAGCTGGGATCAAAATGTAACCGAAACTGCACCGCAGGCAAATTTTTCAATTTTCCAAGGTCAAGCCTATAAGTCACTGAAAGTTGTAAATAAGAATTCAAATATATTCGTCTATAGGGTATGAATCTAGTAAACACACAATTCGTTCCTTTTCTAATAATTACAAAATTCATGTTTTTTCTTCAATGTTCATGCAGCAAATTTTTTTGAATAGAGTAACAAAAATATGGAATAGTTATTTGTGCAACTATTGCAAAAAATTTGCAGCTCAGACGATGTCGAGAGCTAAAATCATGAGTCATGAGTGCAACAAATATGCTTTTGCACATGTTGCACAAACATTTTTTTTACGATCGAATTGAATTTATTTTTATTTGAAATTTTATTAAGAGTATAATTCACTATTCAATAAATATCAGTAATTCTCAATTCTCAGATTAAACTCGTAATCACGAGATAATTGAAGTATTTCTTTCTTGCACACTGAAGAGAGCTTGTTGACTGATGCTATCTGTTCACCGCCAAACCTCCGTTTGAATCTTGCATTTATCATGCATTTACCTCAACGGGAATTTCAATCTAACACGGGTGAAAAATTAAAGAACGCAAATTTCCACGGGTAAGTATATGCAGCCTGTATGCTTTTAAATAACATCTTTCATCAGTAGCTAGAGTGGGAGCATCCCGCGATACCCAAATCTCTCGATGCCCAATTCCCACGATGCCAAATTCCCACGATGCCAAATTCCTACGATGCCCACCTTCATGTCGACGATTACGAAGATTGCCGAAGAGCGCAACGTTGCCAGGTAAAGAGGAGAATTCAGAAAACACAAGATTCCCACCATGCCCACTTTTCATAGATTCCCACGATGCCCAATTCCCACCATGCCCACCTACGATGCCCACCTTCATGTCGACGATTACGAAGATTGCCGAAGAGCGCAACGTTGCCAGGTAAAGAGGAGAATTCAGAAAACACAAGATTCCCACCATGCCCACTTCCACGATGCCCAATTCCCACCATGCCCACCTTTCTTGGTAGAGTGTGATCGGTACGCGCGGCTGGCGACCAGGAGCGTCCCTTCTATTCTTTTATTCTAAAATGACAACTGAGTTGAAAAATTTAGCACCTCATTAGGAGGATACAAATAATTACATAACCACTACATTATATAAATGATCAAGATAATTGGATTAAAATCCAGGAGTACGTACTCTGTCTAGTAGTTTGCTATATTTTAGTCCACTGATTTGACAGTTGTTACAGGGCGAAGAAGAATGAAGAAGTTTGTCTGTTTGTTTTATGTTAGGTTAGGTCCATTTGAAACGTAGTTTGTGATTGTTTCCATATTCTTAATGAATTCAATAATAGAATTATAGATGTGACTGATATAAGTAGCATCATATTTGATGTTGAAAGAAACCATAAAACCTGAGAATATGATACTGGGGTTCATTAAAATCGACAAAGCTGGTAACATATTCAATTATCAATTCAATGATAGGTTTATTGAGGTTAATTGTATTTGCTATATTGAAATCTTCAACCCTACTCTACCCTGAGAGTCAATGATTGAACGTACCACAAATGACCAAATATGTCGAAATATATAGCAGTGGCGTGTCATGAGTTTTGTACCTGGGGAAGCTGGGAGCAAAATATAACCAAAACTGCACCGCAGGCAGATTTTTTTCATTTTTCAAGGTCAAGTTGCTCAATCACTAGAAGTTGAAAATGAGGATTCAAATATATTCGTCTGTAGAGTATGAATTTAGTAGACACACAATTCTTCCATTTCCAATGACCACAAAATTAATGTTTTTCTTCAATAGTTGATGCAGCAAATTTTTTTGAATGGAGTAACAAAAATATGGAATAGTTCTTTGTGCACCTAGTTCCAAAAGTTTGCAGCTCAGACGATGTCGAGAGCTACAATCATGAGTCATGATATTGGTTACATATAAATAGATCCAACAGAGCAACAAAATTGATACAATCAGAAAAATCGTTATTATGATTTTTGCTTTTCTGCTGGCCTAAATGCCATAGGACGCCTTGTGAACTTATATTAAAGGGTAAATATTTGCATGAATCAACGGAAAATAAAACTATATTTTTTACTTACAGGTATAGTCAAAGTTAAAATTTAATAATTTTATTCTGTTTCCTATTCATAGAGAACTGCGGATTTTCGTTGTTGATCTCTAAAACATCTGGATTGCTGAATCCAACCGTTTCTACTTTCAAGCTATTTTCCAGGTGCTGTTGTTGAGCTTGGTACTTGGGGCAGTCTCGTTTTAGATGTGTCACATCACCGCAAACGTTGCATGCACCACCTTTAACAAAATTCCAAATTATAACATGGATTTTGAGCACAAACGGCTCATCGACAGAAACAGAAATCAGTCAGATATACTCTAGGGGCTGGCTCACTGCAAGTATGCACTTATATATATCCGCTAGCATACAGGATTTTCAATGTGTTCTGAAGTGAAATATTGCAGCCAGTCGAACAGCACAAAACATATAACATAACATAAACAGATATACGTATTAGATGATATGGTATTCAACTGGACTACTGATTCCAGAACAGCCTACATACCATTTGCCATATCCTCACTAACATATTTATTCTGACCATTTTCCAAGCCTACCAAAAGCAGGCGACGTGTGGCTACAAAGTGGGGACAAATCAATGTAGAGTGTTCCAGTTCAATACTCGATTATGCATCGCGTATATCTGTTATATTTAGTGTTGGTCGACTGGCTTCTGAATTCTATACCGGGTGACAACGAGATCATTGGACAAGACGTCATTCAGTTGTTTTTTGTTTTAGAATTTTGAAATTCGTAACGATGACATTATAGTTCCTCAAAACCCTCATTTTCTACAGTTGAATATCACTTCCTGTTTTACAGGAAATTTTGAATGGAACCCTATTTCTACGCCGCGTTCAATCGAGCAAAAAAAAACTTTTTCAATGGCATATCACAAGTGGACATTCGTTCCCAAAATGGCGGCACAGGAGACATTTTTTCTTCAATCAATATGGCGACATTGTGAGGTCATCGATCTAATTTTTGACAAGCAAACCCAATAAAATAAGACACTGAGGAAACTCGGTCAAGTAAATAGTTTTCTTGAAAAATATTCGATTGTGACAAGATCATTTTCACCAACGGTAGGAAAATAAGGTACTTGAAGTAGGCATAACAATATTTCTGAAACAATGTTTCTGCTGTGAGTGATCAGGACACTTGTTGATATTAACCAAATCGATATGTATTCTAAGTTCCCTAATAATTTTAAGTGCTAGGTAAACGAATATCATCATTATTAAATTATTCTTTACTTGCTCTGGGCGAGCTAATGTTGTAAACCAAGGTTATTATTTGTTTTTGTATAGAATCGTTAATGAATTTTAGTGTGATTTCAGTAATCATGATAGCTTCTTAAAATATGCTATTATTATTTTTCCTGATTTTCTCAGCAGACATTTGAAACTTCAGTTCTTACGAATCACGTAGTTGGAAAAGCTCACGAGACCTCATTTGATATCTTGGAAATATAATTCTTGAAACTTATTTTATACACATAAGATCTTTCTCAGCAAAGTGCTTATCATACATTTTATAATGGAAATAGGAATAGATGATTTCTGTCCATATGGAAATGCATTTCGTTATTTTATTCATGTGTACAATTAAATATCAGAACTACTTTCTATAGAGCTTGTACTTGTTCATCATAACCATGTTTAGTTAGTTAGTACACAACCTTTCGAAACATAACATCCTTTATTATCTCAATTTTAGAACCACAATTCCTATGTTTATATCTTTGTAAAGTGTTTAACAAAATCTCGAAGTGAAGTGGAAAATAAACGCCTATTGGGAAAATACATTCACTCTAATTATTTGGTCTACCACAAATTCAAAATACGTCTGTAATTCTGGGACCTCTTCCAGAAGCCTTTTTTCCCACGAAAAAAAGGTGAGATTACAACACTAATCGATGAAGTCAATCTATCAAGTCGATTGGTGCAGGTGACTGCTCACCTGTTGTTATACATCTTTTGTCCGTTCGGACATCTCCGATATATTATTCGGGTGCCCACGCCCAACGCGACCACTCCCATTTTCGGCTTCATTAGTATCTTAGCACTTGTGAAGTAAACATCATGGGTTCCCGCTTATGACATTGAAATTCTAAGTCATGCAAGTGCCCTTCTGAACAACTGCTATATCATATTCTTGAAGATATTCCGTTTGTGTACCGCGCTCTGAGCTGTGGGGTGTTGAGTTTGTGATCTGTTATTCTTTTGAAGAAGATAATGAAATACATCTCTCTCAGAACAGTACATAATTGGTGACGTATACAGGATTCTTTTCCACTTCCGATGTCATTTCTTCATCTTCATCACTGAAGAAAAAAGACTGTACCAGTGCATCTGAACGGACCGTTCTTCTCGGCGCATGATCCTGATATACCCGATAACTAGTGTCTCAATATTTGTCGTCAGCCATACCTTTTTGTAATTTCTGGATTCATCATAAGTATACAATGAATGTTTTGAATGCATGAGTTTTTATCTGTTTACCAAGGTTATCATATTTCAGAAAACAATATATATATATAGTTTTTTATAGTACCTAGCTAATGACAGTTGAATAATTCACTAATGACAAGTGAATTAGTCACTAATTACGAGTAAATGAGCCACTAACGACATGTGAACAAATCACTAATGACAAGTGAATAATACACTAATCGCAAATGGATTAGTCACTAATCACAAGTGAACAAGTCACTAATCGCAAATGAATTAGTCACTAATCACCAAGTGAACAAGTCACTAATGAAAAGTGAATAAGGCACTAAAGATGAGTGACTAAGTCACTATTGACAAGTGCTGTGTTCACTAACGGTTATCAATCTGAAATTCATTGGAACAGGTTAATAGTGGAAGGTGTACATTTTCAAGAACACAAATATTTTTGTGGTTATTGTTACCTTGACCCAAATAGTATACAAGTTTTTACTTGCCACTATTAAATATTCACTTAGGGTTAGTGATTTTTTTCTCCGTGCAGGCAAACGGAGCACTTTGATTAGTTTTTGATGAAACCTGGGAAAATTTTGATTCACTACCCATCAGGATTCTTTTTAGTAATTCTTTTAAATGACATTATTCCTCTTGAATTTTCGAAAATTTTAGATAGAAAATGGTACTTTTTTCAAATTAACGTCGAAGAGTATAGCTCATTATGTACAGATAATTACTTGAAACACTACGCTTCTTGTTTTTAAATTCATTTAAAAAATCATTGAAGGCTGTATCAATAACCAACCTGATTAAATAACTTCAATGACTTATCAATTAATTAAGAACAATGTCATATGAAAGAATTACTAATAGGAACCTAGGCAACCAGATGACGTTTCAGTTACGTCTTTTTACGTCAGTTGAATGACCAAGGTGACGTCAGGAGTTGACGTCGTTTAACGTGATAAATGACGTGAATAAGTCACAGCCCAATGACGTCATATTACTTACCAGGATAATTTTGATAACATATTCATAAGGTTATTAAAATTTTCTAGAAGATGATTCTTATTTTTGGTGAAGGGAAGCTCTACTTCTCCAGCTTATATGAATAATAGTGATAACACGCAACAGCTTCACTTCAATTAGTCTGATTTCCTATTAAAACCTTATGAAAATACTCCGTATCTCATAAATGAAGTGTTACTGGATACACATAGTGCTCAACCGAGAACAAAACAGACTTCTAGGAATTTCAATTCATCATATGACACCTATTTATTCAATCTTTGATAGCCATACATGTCATTCTGATTCCTTACGTTCTGCTAACTATTTGAAGCATATGAATAGGGAATGTATCATATATGGCACAGATTTTAAAACCCGAGTAATTCCAAAAATGAATGTTACTTTAAGTAGGGTGAATATCAATGATCTCTGGTTGAAAAAATAATTTGAAAGTTAGTCCTATGTTTTAAACTTTTTTTCAAAAGCTGACAAATAAAAAATTCTTACCTTTTGGATATAATCCTCTAGCATTATCGGGACACTGTCTTGCTATATGTCCTTGCTCTTGACAGATGAAGCACTGAGCAAACTTAAATTCCTGTCCTTTAACCACTTTACATTCAAAGTGAGTGTGTTCTGTTGATCCACATTTGAAGCATATACCACTTCCAGCAGTTTGAACAACTTGATTCTTGCCGAGTTCTGGACATTCTGATAAGTTGTGGCCTGAGGTCCGACAATTGAAGCAAACCTGAAAAATACTTGATATACCTATACCCACTGAAATCATTTGAGGTCAAGATGAATGTGCTGCTTATGATTCATTGAACATTATTGTGTCTTTTGTATTTGATTTTATTCATACAATAATTATTCGGATTTAGTTATCTTTGTCATCGAGAATTCCATTCTCTTCAACTTCAATAGAATGATGAAGATGCCTGCAAGCAGGTGTCATTACTGTTTAAAACTTCAAATTTCACGTCGATAATTATCTGATTTCAATATAAAGTAATATCTTCTTGATATTGATTCGCCCTTTTTCCTGTCATAGTAAAAAATAGTGTATTATACACGGGAAAAAGATTAGAATTTAGCTCACGGTTTTTTGTCTTCCCATAAATAACTATTTTCCATCGAGTAAAACGTCACCATCTCGTTTGGTAACGAAAAGTTGATTGATGTTCATCATACAGGGCGTGGAAAAAATTCTGAATTGAGGAAACCCAATCACAAATAATGATTAGAGGTCTGTTAAAGCTAAATTCCATCGTTCAAGTTTGAATCCTTGATTGGGAAAGTAGTTTTTTTCTGTTGCGCAAAATAATTCCAATTCTCAACATATTTTTTATACTTATGTATCTTTCTTTTTTCATATTCATAATATATTGTATATTATCTGAGAATATTCCTATTTGAAAAAAATAATTATTGAAATAGAACATGCTGCATATATTATGAAAGAAAAACAAACAAGAAATTCTTGAGGAAACGTAATCGAAAAAACAATGATTTGATATATTCAAATATACTTCAACAGAAATAGATCTTTTGGAACTTCCGAATAAACAATGAAGTGTCCGAATTTGTTTCTACAGGAACACATTTTGTTGAACAACAAGACTATCTTGTTTATGAATCATACAAATCAAAACACATCCATATAAAATTTCATTACAATGTTGCCAGTATTTTCAACATAATCGTAAAAAGTGTGTAGAAAAAATATTTTTTCAACACCTTGTATCTTGAAAACGGATGGCTTTACGACATTTTTTCACTGGGCAAACCCAACTTATTTTGCAGTGTTCTACCTACCCTAGCAAGGGGGTCAAGTTTTTTATGAAACACCCTGTATATGTATACAGAGAATGGCATAAAAAACAGCAAGTGCTGTAACTTCTGAATCATTCAAGATCGGATTTTGTGAATTTGTAGGTAGAAAGTATACCAAATTGCCATTTATTAACAAAACAATTTATGTTCAATCATTTCCGGTTTCACCGAGAACGACCCTAACTTTTGATTTTTAAATGGGACACCCTGTATTTCATTCCATTATCATACCAAATTCAACGATAGAGGGTTTGATAGGGTTATTTCAAACGATTACGAAAATATTCGCGTTCGAAATTTCATATGCTCAGTGAGTGTGAGGTTGCAATATCGAAAGTTATTTCTCTATCACACTCATTGAGCATAATGTGACTTAGAACGCGAATTTCTTCGTAATAGTTTAAAATAACCCCATCAAACCCAGTATCGTTGAATTGAATAAAATACTTTGTGTTGTCAGAGTAGATACTTGGTTTTACCTAAGTTCCAAAAAGTGGAAATTTTTATGAGATTGTTAAACCGAGATTCAATACCATTCAGAGCCATTTCAAAAAGATTTCCGAACTAACCTATTGAATATGATCCATGCTACAGTCTGCTCTTGGAGTTGGAGCTTAACTAACTAACTTTATTTTGCTGCAATGCTCATATTCATACTGAGAGTTTCTCATCTGACTATCAAAGGCAAGTTTGAGATTCTTAAGATACTCAATTTCTTCCTGACCATAGCACAACAAACTTTTTGTGATAAATTAGTGATTACTCAATCAACTTGGTGATGTATCCCATAATGCTACAAGATACAACTGTCAAATATATACTCGCATTCATGACTAACATGATGTCTGTACAAGCAAACAAAAAAGTTTTTCTGAGGTCACAAGAGTTGTGATAAGAAATGAGGACGTAGAAGGGAACATAAAGTATAGATAGATACCTACCTACAAGGAGTCAACGAATCTATTTTCCCCGGAAATGAACCTGCTCTGAATTTTTGAATGGAACACACTTGTAACATCTCACCTGTAACCTTTTTGGATTTCTGAGACAATGAGGGCTAAGATTTTCAGGCTTACCAGTTGGCGCTACTAAAACGTGAGGTCAATGTCAAAGTAAAAAATCACAAAATTTTGTCAGGCTGTGGCCTCTTCTATCGGAAAAATTATGTGGCCCATTTGAACAAATAGAAAAATTCAAGTTATGGAAATACTTGAACAGGACTCGCGTTTTTTTCTCAATGTGGAACTTTACGACCAATTCCAACATTGACGGAGAAGAAGATATCATAGGAAGAGGCCAAATGACACGAAAAGAGGAAGTATATTAATCAGTTCTACCAATTCAGTGGCGCGATGTGGTGGAAAATGAATAATGTCAGTCCTCATTCTTGATTAAAATGTAACAAATTCAAACGTTTTTACGCCTACTTTATCTCATTTTAGATTAGAATCACTTTTGAATTGAGGAACTTTTCCTGTCTGCTCAAGAATATTGTCATAAAGCCCATGTGACTGTCATTACCTAAGTGTTTTATTTTCAGAGTAAGACTTGAACTATGAACTGCAAAATATGTATCTTGGCGTGATCATGGCTGCATAGAATAGGCTTGACCTAGACTTGACAAGAGTAAATAAATCATCATCTAGTATTGCCTTCAGCAATATCAATTTATGTTGTTATTGTTATTCAATGGCAAATGAATTAGTTTCCTTAGATGCTTCTTTCGGAAAGTACTAGTTGAAAATCTGTCACCATTCAAAAATTAATAGACATGAAAATATAACTTTTCCAACTTGTCTTATTCCTATCTATTATATTAGTCGCTAAAATTCTGATATTTTACTTTTAATTCTGAAATAATGAACTATTCTCAAAAAAAAAACTATCCAGAATTATATCAATCCAGAAATTTGAAAATACACAGGGTGTATGTATCATTTGAAAATTCAAAACCGGGACAATTTCCGGTGAAACCAGAAGAGACTGGATAGTGAAAAATATGCGAAAACTACCGTTTTCACATAGCATTCACCTCGAGGGGGAAACAACTCTTTTAAGTAGTGTACACCATGGAATTTTAAATATTTATGTATCATTTTTAATAAATTAAGTACAATTCAATACGCTTTTAAGTACTTCAGTATAAAAATAATTAACTTAAATACGTCTTTAGTATTTAAGTATTATTTGTACCAGTTTAAGTATTTTAAGTACCATATTTTATTCTTCAAGTATGTTTAGTACCGAATTCAGTACTTCAAGTATCTGTTTAGTACATGAGTACTGGAAATTCAGTGTTTTATTACCAGAGATGATACTCGACTCTCGACCCGACTTTTATCGAATGGATTCCGAAGAACAATTTGGTTTCATTCCCGCAATGGCCGCAATCCGAATTCCGTCACTGGACAGTTATTAGTGAGCACGCATTATTTTCGCAATACACAATATTATTGTTTTCATAACAAAGTTGAAATTGAAATGATGGGGTTAGGAGATACTGAAGGAAAGTGATAGTTTTACAGTTATGTTATGTAGGTGCAAATAATCATTAGATCAATTTCAGATTCTTCACCCACAATTTGACACACGTTTTTTTACCACGCTTATATCAACTCACTGAGAGTTGAAGAAACACAAAGAAAATGCTCGGAAAAATGCGAGGAACAATGTCACGGTCAGGTCTTGTAACCAGTTTTTAGACCACTCCTAATTGTTTGATTGATTTTAAATTTTGCAGGTCTTTATAATCCCGATGACAATGCATTATGAAATTGTTGTTAGAGAAAAAAACAAAATGGCAGCTCCAATATGGCGGTCGAGTTTTGTAATTATGATCTGATTCTATTCAAAATTGGTATATAATAATAATGATATAATAATAATAATAATAACTGGTCTTTTTTATTTTCAACAAAATAATTACAACTATTGAAGTAAAAAATTGAATAAAGTGCAAATAGAGGGCGAAGTTCAGCTCATTCAGCTAAAACTTCACTAAATGAGTTGTTCTTTGGTGGTTTTCTGGGTGGAGAATCATGATTCTTTTGTCAAAATTGGAAAATTCAAGATGGCGGCCCATTTGGCAGACGAGTTTTGTAATTATGATTCAATTTTATTCAAAATTGGTATACGAGGGTTTTCGGGGTGATTCTTCTGCCTAAATGAATAAAAATATAAGATGGCGGCTACAAGATGACAGACTCGTGGCAGACGAGTTTCGTGTTTATAGTCCGATGCGATTCAAAATTGGTACATGGTGGTTTTTGGAGTCTGTTGACAGGTAATTTTTTCCCGTATATATATCCAATGTTGTTGGCTTTTCTTTGTGCTAGTTCCGAAAAGAACTGCACGTCCTTTTATCTTCCATTCCACTTTGTTGTTATCTAAATTACTAAACAACTACTAAGTTCTCAATTTTTCAAAATCAAATCACATAATTGGACTGACTTATATTTGATTACCTCAAAATAGTAGAAGATCCGAACCTACATCGACCTTCACCGAGCTGATAATAGAACGAAATATATTTTATCATGAATTTAGTATATTAGAAAACATATTAAAAATGGGTTGGCTAAAAAAATCCTCGGCAGACTATTTTTAATTATTTTTCGAAAAATTATTTTTAATTAAATGTTGCAACATCAGGATAATAAAAAAATTGTGTCCTGACTGAAAGTATAAAACGTATAGAATGTGCAGCCGTTGGGTTGTCTACTATTTACCTGGGCGAACTACTGGGTTGTCAGGTAAACACAGGTATATCGATGCCAGTTACTTTCACTGGATTGGATAATTTAAAACAATTTATATCATCATAAGCGCTGTTTAATTGCGAACACGTTGATATAGGGTTGTCTGCGAAAATTCCGGTCCTATTAGGGGTTTGCGAATTTTAAAGATTTTAATTTCAACGCGCGTGGAAGTGTGTGACAGAGAGATCCGAGGTAAGTATACTGTGTAATAATAAAGGACCCAACATCGCAGTCGCTTGTGATGGGACCCTGAATAGTAGAAAGTGCGCATGCTCGGTGTGTAAACTATGGAGGGTAGAGGTACCTCTACTACCCTTCATATAGTAAACAGTGCGTGTTATTTTGGAGCAACTGATATTTCAGTAGCAAAAAAAAATAATTAATTAATTACATAATAATTAAATATATTTAATATAATAATAATATATAAAAACAATATAATATCAATATATTGCGTTATAACCATAATGATATATCTATAATCTATAATAGACAATAAAAATATCAAATACTTACTTTGAAATTTTTTTGCTCTTTCTGGAAATAGAAACAAAGTGGACCGCCAAAAATTTAAATTAAGAAATAACAAAAAAGATAGACTAGACATCTTGTATTACGATTTAAAATTTTATTGAAAAACAGTATAAATACAAAAATAATATTAATGAAAAATAAATTCTAATAAATATTTTCTATTCAATATCTGATTCATCAGAAGTATCATTTTGACTCTCGAATTCGTCTGATTCATTAGATTCTTCCTCATTTGCTTCCATTTCGACAATGTCTTGGATTTTCAAAGGAGTTTGATCTCCGATAAAACCTGTTGGTTTTAAGAAATCATCAAAATGCCAACCATAGTTTTCAGGATTTGACTTCGCACACTTCGCACACTTTCTACTATTCAGGGTCCCATCACAAGCGACTGCGATGTTGGGTCCTTTATTATTACACAGTATACTTACCTCGGATCTCTCTGTCACACACTTCCACGCGCGTTGAAATTAATAGTTATTTATGTATTAAGGGAATTATGAGGGCCTCAATTACCGATGGCAAAGTTTGCGTCCCGAGGGCCTCTGGCCCGAGGGACAGCAATTGCCAGAGGTTATTAAGGCTCTATAATTCCCGTGATACATAGATAATTTTATTTCTGACTGATTTCATTCATTAGATACCTTCCCGATTGGAAGTTAGACATGTTTTTCCGTATAGTTTCAATGTCATCAGAACGTCAGATGATGATCTTGACTACCGCGAATAGGAGATTCCTTATTGCTACGTTATTGCGTGGTTGTTGCTATGCATTTTTCATTTAATTTTGGCTAGAGGGAATTATAGCATCTATAACATCCCAAGGGAGTTATGACCCACATTATAGATATCGTAACTATGACGATATAAGCTTATAATGTCACTGTCAGAAATAAAATCTTTAAAATTCGCAAACCCCTAATAGGACCGGAATTTTCGCAGACAACCCTATATCAACGTGTTCGCAATTAAACAGCGCTTATGATGATATAAATTTTTTTAAATTATCCAATCCAGTGAAAGTAACTGGCATCGATATACCTGTGTTTACCTGACAACCCAGTAGTTCGCCCAGGTAAATAGTAGACAACCCAACGGCTGCACATTCTATACGTTTTATACTTTCAGTCAGGACACAATTTTTTTATTATCCTGATGTTGCAACATTTGATTAAAAATAATTTTTCGAAAAATAATTAAAAATAGTCTGCCCAGAATTTTTTTAGCCAACCCATTTTTAATATGTTTTTTAATATACTAAATTCATGATAAAATATATTTCGTTCTATTATCAGCTCGGTGAAGGTCGATTTAGGTTCGGATCTTAGACTAAAACGCCTCGAAAGAATAATAAAGATGCCTGCAAAAAATGTCTGCCATGCAGGTTTATTTCCTGTTTGAAAACTTCAAATTTCACGTAGAGGATTCACTGATTGTAATACAATTTAATATCTTCTCAATATCGTCTAGTCCTTTTTTCTGACACAAAAAATAGTGTTTTATACACGGAAAAAAATATAAGCTTTCAACTCACAGTTTTGTAACAACACAACCATGGGCTATAATCTACTACTTTTTTCCTTGTATAATAAATAACGATTTTTTAAAGTTCCAATATCTCGAAAACTGTGGATTTACTGGGATTAAGTTGTGGTTTTCTGATAGGTTATGAACTCAATTATGAACTTGTATATCACCACCTTGCATATGGTCCATATTTTACCGGACACCCTGTATAAAATATACGTGATTTTAAGAAAGTTGTTTTTTCCACAATTTTCAGAAGGGGTTTTGAGATGTGAATTTTTGCCCCACACAATATTGTCTCATATGGAGAAAGGCATATGATATATGATAATGGAAATAACTTCCATCAAGGTAGATATATTGGAGGTTTTAGATCCTGTTTAAGTAATTCCATGGCCAGCCATGAGTATGGGTAAATACAAGGGTTAATAAGTACTGGATGACCTCGTGGATGACTATTAGTTTATTGGCAGACACCCTGAAATATTTATAAATGTTGCTAGAATGTATGGCTGATTTCACATTGACATGTCTACAACACATTAGGGAACGTTCGTTTGCTGTTGTTACAATTGAAGTTGAAAAAAAAATTATCAGTTATAACAAAGTAACAATTACTTCTGGTATAACAGAGGGTATAACAATTCAAAAATGATTTTCTTTGAGAAAATTGGTTTGGGATTTTATAGAATTTTTGAAGCATATGCATGGATCTTAGTGGATATGCTCATCATTCTAGAACTCTACGAACTCAATAGGTAACTCCTCAGGTTAATCCAAAAGTATTTTGAATGAAAAAACCCTAGGAAAACCACAGAACTCAAGTCTTCGAGTTTGGTGAGGAAAACCTGTATATTATGTTCAGGTTTGTAGGAAGTTTTTAATGATGAAATGAATTGTAATGTTACTGGTTCTAGCCAGACTTTAGAATAACTTCAATATGTTTAAATGAAACACCCTTTATATTTTCAGCAAATTCAAGTATGTGTTTGTTAGGAGTCAGTTTCCTATGCTTCTCTTAGTCAGTTTGGGTGATATGACTCTTGTATACATTCAAATCTATAATGATGAAAATAATGAATAATAATAATAATGATGAAACCAAATAAGACAGAAATTGCTTATTATTATATAGGGGAGGAAATAAGGATACCATTTTATTTCACCTTCAATGCCATGCATAAGTTTTCATCATGAGAAGCAAACACAAATATAAACATGGTATTCTCATGTGGTTATTTGTTCAATAAATTTAATTGAATTGATACAAACCTTCTTCTTTTCTCTAGCAAAAGCTTTTTCAGCCTTTCTTCTTTCAAGTTTCAATGATTGGTTTATTTCACTCCTAGGTAAGCCTTTGCTGATCATCTCTCTTCTTAACTTTTTTAGTCTCAATGCATCTTCTTTTTTAACTGGAAAGCCATCAACATAGTCAATCTCAAGCTCCTGTCCATTGATAAACATTTTATGTGGCAGTAAAGGTTTTTTTCTTGGATGTTCTTCTTTGTCTCTATTTTTGAGTTGTTTTTTCTGAGTCCCATTGGAATTTTTAATGAGGGGTTTTGGAGATTTACCCTTTACATTTTCTTTTTTCAAAGAGTTATTGTTAACCATGTCCTCACCGCCATCACCTATTGGTGAAGATTTTTCATTATCTGCTTTCAGTGATTCTTCCAGATCCTTTTGTTGTTTTTGTTCAGATTTCAATTTTTTTTTCTTTTCCAGTTGCCTGATACGTTTTTGTTTCTTTTTCTCAATTTTTTTTAAATCTTGTGGAGTTGGGTTTTCCTTAAGAGCCTTCTTTGGCAACATACCACTCTTTTTCTTCTTTGTACTATCCACCTTTTTCTTATTAGTTTTGTCTTCTTTATTTTGAAAGGTATTTTGTTTCTCAATGGGCTCATCCAATTTTATCCTTTTATCCACAGCACTGTCCTTGGAATTTTTCATCTTTCTTTTTTTGTTTTGCTTTCCACTGAATGGTTCATTCAATTCCCCTGTTGTGTTTAGTGGGCTTTTATTTTCATTCTCACTAATAATCAATTTATCAGGATTTTCAATTTTAATTTTTTGTTTCCTCTTTTTTTTGATTTTGACAAGAGGCATTATAATTTCTTTTTTTGCACTTCTTTCATCTGGTGGATTATCACTATCACTTTCACTTTGACTTTTCGAATTTTTATTATCCAGAACTTTGTCCACTTTCAATTTAAGGGCCTGGAAGCTATCATCATCATCATCATCAACAAAAGACATTTGATTCATCTCAGTAACTCTGCTGATATTCATGTAATTTTTATCTAATTGTTCAGGAGACGTTTCATTGTCAACTCCAGTAAAGTTTGCCCACTCTATTTTTTTACTCTCTGCATCCTCTTTTTCTTGTAAGAATGCCTTGTAATTATTATTCCTCTTTTCTATAACCTCCATGCGTCTTTTGCTTTCCTCAATATCCTTATTTTTTTCAATCAATTGTTGTTTCATTGTGGTCCATGATGTTGCTTCTTCTGGTATACGTTCATTTGAGGCTTTCGACCCTTTGGCTCTTGCAAAACGAGTCATTCGAAATTTGTTTGGAAAATTTCTAAAGAATTTCGATTTCCAGAACTAAAACTCAAAAAATGTAGGGTTAAGGTAATCAAATCAAACACGTGACATGATGACATGAAACAACAAATTTGGTATGGTCACAGAACACTACTCATTAGGTAGGTCCATTGTCTGCTAAATATGGAGAAAAAATCTAGTGAGCTGGAGTATCTGGTCTGCCCAAACAGGGGAAATCACCTACAGCGTTCTGTGGCCGATACAGTAGTACCGCCATACGGTCAACTCGAGGAAACACTCAGTTCAATTGTTTTCCTGTCAAACCTACATAACCTTAAAAATCGTTAATGAGTTGAGCCTCGCTCCCTCTCAGCGGTGCTCTCGGCAGTCTCGGCCGATGGCATAGTTTGTTTAGTTTAGTGAGTTGAGTTCAGTCACGACATTCGGACATTCACGGGACACGGTCACTAATAGACTAGAGCAGTTCAGCTACCGTTGAGAGAGAAAAAAAATGTCTTCCCCATCTGTCCTTGTCTTCAGTGTTCCAACATAAAATAATGAAAATATTATGTTGGCATCATTGGAAATGGGAAAAAATGGAGAATACTATCATATTAACCTCGATGTAAAAGAAGGTTAGAGCGGTCTTCTTCTCCATTTCTTCTCATTTCCAGTGTTGGCAACATAAGATTTTCATTATTTCATGTTGGAAGACTGAAGACAAGGACAGATGGGAAGACATTTTTTTCTCTCTCAACGGTAGCTGAACTGCTCTATTGAGGATATTTGTAGAGGACGTAATCGCATCCGAAATATTATGTTCGCGGTTCATCATAGTTCATAGAAATGTATGTATAATTCTAGATCACAGCTTGATGGGTTAATTTAAAATAATAACCTTCCTCTCCAAATAATCATCAATTCTACAAACCTTGTTGGTTTTATGGTGAAATGTGGTGAATGAAGTAACATCTGTGGCACATTTCATGCCACAATGACTTATGGTATACTCTTTTGGGGAGGCACAACAAATGCTTCACACATTTTCAAACTACAAAAAAGAGTGATACGTGTTATGGGTAAGGCCAAATGGGATGCTCATGCTAAACCCCTGTTTCAACAATTCAGAGTTATTACTTTTCCCTGCTGTTACATACTAGAGTGCTTATGTCATGTCAAAAGGCTGACAATAGCAGGAACAACTGCTGAACTTGGAGATACCCATGATCATCTCACGAGATCTCGGTCATTGCTGAGATTGCCAAGTTTTAGACTGCATCGCACTCAGTCATCTTATTTATATAGATCCTACAAATACTTCAACTGTTTACCACTGGAGCTCAAAGACAATAGCATGTCTCTGCATAAATTCAGAAGAACTTTGAGGGATGTTTTCACTGAAAATTGTTTTTATTCAGACCAAGAGTTCTTCTCTCACTACTCAGAATAAAGTTTTGAATGTAATTTCAAATAATATATTAGTTGCGATTGTAATTTATATTCCTATTTTTAGTGTGTTTAGTTGTCTATATTTTAACTTACATTTTTAATTGATGAGTTATGCTTAAATTATCTTTATTTATTGTGCTTATTTACTTATTTATATTGTACTTTACATTCTTAGCTTATAATTTCTGTATAAATTGAGGTCTATTTTTATATCTATATCATGCCCGTATGACCATTATATGTATTTGATGTCTTATAAACTCATTGACGAATGTAAACACGTAAGTGTAAAAACATGAATAAATATATCTATCTATCTATCTAACATTATTCATTCCGTTAGGGTGTATACTGTGTTCATAAGTCTCATCAGTTGGCTGGAGCTTGAGGTCAAGAGTGACTTTATAAAAAGATTGAGGACAATAGTGGTACCACTGAACTATAGTGGTACACTTTTTGATTGGTCAGACATTTAATATGAAGGTGCATCCACCTATATTGTTTGTTCCATGCGTTCTACGCATTCTATTCCACTTTGTCAATGCGTTGTCTCTTTTTTGCTTTTTGTGTCAGATTATTCAGATGATGAAATGAAAATATCGAATATGTAAACCTAACATATATCAGGTGGGCACTTCGCAAATGCATTACTGCATGGGAGATACCCTTCAGATTCTTATCTATTCACTGACTTGACCACGATTGACATTCCGAAAACGAAGGTTTATTATTGTCGTCATTCTATCCAAAATCTACTCACTCTAGTGAGGTTCAGAGTGAGTAGTGGCGACAATAGACCTCAACATGACTGCTGTTTCCGGAATATCATTCGTCGTCAAGTCACTAAATAGCTGAAAATCTAAAGGATATCTCCCATGCGATAATGAATTTTTGCCTTCGAAGCCTGATTTTAGGTTTAGATAATTGTTATTTTCATTCCATCATCTGAATATAATCTGAGAATCACAAGTCTCAAAAGACCGAATCTAATTGTTAATATCCGAGGTACCGACGTGTGTCTGATTGTTGAATGTTACAAAGTAAAATAGTACGAGAGCACCCTCTGGTTCCACGTACACTTATTTTCTTTTTTGAAAAATTATTATAATGACTTTTTTATCATTTATTGATTTTTTCCCCTTTATGACTTTTTTCTGATTATATTATTTTATTTTTTTTCATTATAATGACATTCGGATCCTTATTATACTGACTTCTTGATGTTATGTTGTAAGCTGTAGGGTCATTTCTTTATATTTTGTCACCCCATAATTCACCCTTGAAGTTGAAAATACAGGTAAAATATCCTAATTAGGTAAATTATAGGTTCGAAGTTTTTGTATTTATTGCAATGGGGATATATGTATAATATAATAATATTAAGACATTGAAGAATAATAATTACTGTCTCATTATTATTCGTGGAATAACCCCACGTTCTTTGTAACGACGAATTCCTAGATGTTTGTAACTGGACTTTGGTTTCGGTATTCGACTTTCCTGACTCTTTTGCTGGAATCCTTATCAGAATGATTTGTGACGAGATTCGTCTCGTTGATTACCTCCGCTTCGGTTATGCAGCTGTCTACTTTTCCAGCACTATATGCATGGTCTTCATTGATCGGCCAGGATATTCGTCAGTTAGACATGGTTAGACCCTATAACGCTTATCCATGTCGTATTCAACCAGATAGCCAACCAAAGCCTTTAGATCCATTTTTCGTCTCTTCTGCACTGAATGTTTGAGCTTACAATACGCATATGTTTGATCCTTGGCTTCCGACCAAATCAGAGTTCGGATGACGTCTTATTCGCGACTGAAGATTTTCCCACACGATTGTGGATAGCCAGCGGTAACGGAATTCAGCCCAGATTGCTGCAGGAACATCGATGTCAGGATTTGAATATGTGAATGTACGAGCAATCTCCGCTATTGTTCGATTTTCTCGTTCAACAGCTCCGTTCTGCTCAGGTGTGTACGCTTTCGTCAGTCGCTGATTCACTCCATATTCCTGAAGAATTTCACTTACTTCGTTTTTGTCGAACCCACGACCATATTGTCGCTGAGAAACTCTTTGACGTGTAAACCAAGAGCTTCCTTGAAGGCATATTTTTCTCATGCAACGACACAGTAACGTTACCTTGAATAATGATCCTTGATAACAATGAAGTAACGACGACCATTGGAAGATTGATCAGATGGCTCGCAAACATCACCGGAACAGCTCACCAGGGGCAGAAGGTTGGTTTCGCGTACCGAATGGTAATCGCTGTGCCGAACTGACATTGTTCGCATTTCTCTGATCAGATCGGCCCGAAATATTTCGGCGAATATCAGCGTACAGAACGTGGATATTCGACGGATTCAGTTCGATCAGAAGTTTCGTCTACGTGTGGTTTGTCTGAAGAAAATTTTCGGAAATTTTCGTTCCGATATATTTCAGTCTTGTCGTAGGGTGTTTGCGACAAAATAAAAAATAGATTTTTTTATTGCTATGATTTCAGAAGAAGAACATGATGACGATGATGAGTGAGCGTTATCAGGAGTATGTACTAAAAATAATAAAGTTGTTTGAGAAAAGGGCCAAAGAAGGTGTTTATGAGTTGTTAGTGTTGGAGCATCTTTCGGATCTAGGTCTAGTTTTATCTTATAATGATTATGAAAAATACGTTGTTTGTTTGTCTAGGTCTGCACTATTTCGGCGAACTGTGCCGTTTCGAAATCGTTCATATCAAACACTGGTTGATTTTCCGCGACGAACTGCTATCCGTTCACTTTTCCGAAATTTCGGTCCGATCTTTCATACAAACCGCCATTATTACGTACTGCAAATACGCTAGGTTTCACCGGAAACGCTAACGAACACTCTGTGCTATATCACCGAAATATTTCGGGCTGATCTGGTCAGAGAAACCAGGGCTAAAGCCGATCGTCGATTGGCAGTTTTATTCCTAATCGAATTAAGCTTCGCATGGACGTAGTGCTTGTCCATATGACCCCAACGCTGATGAAAAATCTGGAGTGTCTGATCGTGTTCAGCCACACCTGCACAAACCTCTGCTGGCGGCAACGTAAAAAATGTAGCACATTATAATGTGCCACCTGTGTTTCGGGTTCCCTCGAATATTTATTGTCTTGATACTTAATCGACATCTGGTATCCGTTGATTCAAACTTACTGCCAGGATTTCGATCATGGGCTGCAAGGACGGAGACAAGGTTTCGGGAAATAGCGGAAACATACCACACGGCTTTGGGTATGAATAATTTGACGTTGCTAGCCACTTCAATTGTCCCACTTTCAAATGCTTTGATCTCCATCTTTCCCGCAGCTCTATTGGTAGCATTGACATTTACAGGAAACGGTTTGTATTCGGTATACCAGTTTAAATTCGAGATTATATGACGGGTATCATCGTTGTCAATCCACCACTGGTCGTTTGTGATCGCCATATCAATGTCACACTGATGGAAATCAGCGCAAATGTAAAAACTTCACAAATGAGATCAGCGCATTACGAATTTCAGTCACTACGTGTGAGCTACAGAGTCAGTCGTCGAAGCTGAACTAGATTCACTAGCACGGGCTGGATACGACGGTTTACCGTCTGCTTTCCATCTTGGGTACTGTTGAAGTCAGTGACCTTTCGAGCTGCAGTACTTGCAGTTGGTGCTGTTAGAAATGATTTTCTTCTTCTTCTTCTTCGGTGCTATAAGACTCTTGCTGTAAAGAGCATCACCTGATTTCGAATCAGGCGCGATGTTACGCTCATTAAGGATTAGAGCTGACGAGAGATCTTCGATTGATTTGGCTTTCATGAGTAAGTAACTTGATTTGAACGACTCAACTCGCTTAGGAAGAGCGTCCAACATTTTCGAAACAAACAATGGCTCGAGAAAAGCTTGAATTGAATGTTTTGATATCTCGTGTTTTGAGATCAGCAGCGATGTAACGATGTTGATTCTTCACTCGAGATAATACCAGGCATCTTCGGTTTCATCCCATTCAATACTAAATAAATCAAGACATTGACGAAATAACTGATCTTCAGCTATGATATCAAACTGTTCGACTAGCACGTCCCACGCTTCCTCAGTTGATAATCTAGTTGAAATTCTTTGATGTAGTTCGCATCACTACAACACATTGTGATATATCACTATTCTTGCTTGAGCAGCAGATTTGTTGTACCTCGGAAGCTAGCGACATTTCTCAATATCTTATTCGATGAAGAGTGGTTTATTTCTTTATCTGTTGTAATAATATAGCCTATCAACAAAATCCAATTTTCCCACCTCAATCCCGGGACAACGATAATAAGCAGCTTATCAA